ATTTTTCATATTTATCAGCTACTGTATGCTCATTAACCACTCTCTTTCTCAATGCTTCCAGTACTTGTCTCCTACTAGCAGTAGGAGTAGTGGTCAGCCAGTGTTGAAACATCATTAATGTCTTGCTTGTATCATCATGTCCTTGTAACTGCTCAATACCATCCAATTTCTTTTGTTCTACGTATAAGAGCGTACCCAAGAAGTACCACTTAGTACCAACATCAATGTGTTCTAGTAGCTCAGGAAGAAGAGGAGGAGAAGACAAGAAAGCCCTGAAAGACTTTTCTTTGAGTTGAGCCATTTTAGATTTTTTAACCAGCCACACCCTAGACTAGATCATACATTCATAACCTACAGGTATGCATAACAACATTATTTTTTTTTAATAATTCTGTTTTATATTGAAAGAAACTATGAAAGTAACCATTAAACTTTAATTATTATAAAAGAGAATTAGAAATAAAAAAGGGGCATACATGCATTCTCTCTAGCAAGATATTTTATTCTATTTAATTGTTAGTGGACACAGTTCACTATCATCAGTCTGGGATTGATCAACACTTTCTTTTACACCCTATACAACAGTAAGTAATTGATATAGTTAAAGATGCATACACACAATGTGAAAATATATACATGTAATACTATGTCTAGTACATGTACATGATATTTCACTCACTGATGTGTTCAGCTGTTGGCTTGCTGTCACATTGTTCAAGAGCTTTAACCAGTGTGGTCCAGGTTGCTGCTCCTTTATTATCTACCCCATCAGCTCTTTGCAACCATTTAGCAATACACTTCCTAAGGCAGTCTTCAACTTCAGAGGAACTACTTGACTCTATAGTACTCAGTGTATTATCATATAACCCAAGTTTGAGTCCTAGCTCCTTCCAATTGCTACTATAATAGTGACCACCCTTCAAGTCTGTAAGGATATCATCTAAATCACATACATTGAGTGCTTGTGAGCATCCTGAATCTATAAAATGGACCTATTAATAATGCACATGTATACATGTAATACTCAACTGTACTATACTCACCCCAATTAGCACACCTCTTGATAAATAACTAGGTGAATGCAAACATTGAGGGGACGAGCATGAGCTATCCACGCGGCTTAGCTTGATTTTATTGAAATAAAAATTAAATTTAATCTAGCTCTTAGTCTAATGAAAGAGAAAAGAACATTCATCTCTCTAGTCTGTGAGACCATTACCTGCATGCATGTTCAGACCCTGACCTCACGGTTGGGGTCTAAACAGAGCAAATATCATAAATTGCAAACTGAAAATAAAATAAAATGATTTTAATCTAGCTCTTGAGAGAGAAAAGAAGATTCACCTATCACTTCAAAACTGTTACCTGCATGCATATTCAGACCCCGACCTCACGGTCAAGGTCTGAACAGAGCAAGTATCACCAATCACCTATACTAACAAAACTAAATAAAATAACCAATCATCAACCAATAAAAGAGACAAGAAACAGTGCTGTCACTAAGAACCAAAGCTAAACTTCTAGAGTCAAGCTCTTCTCACATTCTTAGTTCTATCAATGAGAGGACTAATCCAGGAGAGTCTTAGATCAAAGTACAAGCTATCAAAATATTCTAGTCAACAAAAAACTTGCACATGCACTGTAGCTCACCAAAATTAATATTATGAGTTTACTTAATTTTCCAGACTTTACAGAGCTGATGGACTAGCCTTGTCTCAGGTGGTGCATTGTTTAGATAGGAACAATTATGAAATGCTCCAGGAGGTGCATAAAAAAGTATGCAATACACCTGCAAACAAAGGAGCTTTCTAATTACAATGCACCTCTGAAAAATAATTATCTTGACCAGGAGGTGCACTCAATAAAAAGTTTTTATTGTGGAGCTGTAATAATTAGGAGGGTGTGTTAATTGGGGTGAGTGCAGTACATGAAATAGTGCTTCAGGCTACTGTATAACGCTTTATTTTTGAGGAGCTAAACTTTCGCTATTTTTGCAGTTGAGCATGAAACCGCTAAATTAAAGATCCACTAAAAGTTCAATTGCCATTAAAGGCGTGGCACTAACATTGCAAATCCACAAAATTTATTTTTGAGAAAAATGATTTTTATTAATCTGCGAAATTTTAGCTCCGCAAAATTAAAGCGCTACACGGTATGTAATTTTCAATGACTTACATGCAGCCACTGAGGTTATCATTGTAGTGTCACAGTCAAACCAGCACCAGTAGTTGTCACCACTGATATCTGCTGACTTTTTGCACAGTGTACAATTGATGGAATGGTCTTCTTCTATGACACAGTAACAGCTCTTTTCCTTTTCATTAGGACAAGAGAATGCAGTGACATGATTGCGTTCAACATTGATGGCATCAGCACTGTCACTGACAGCCTTCATGACTAGCTCACAAATATAAGGACATATTGGCTTTGCTTTTTGAACTGACTCATCAAAATAAGCCTCAATGTGTGTGTAGTGATTGATTATGTGAAGTGTGTAACGTTTCCTTTTAATAAAAATCCATAAAGACAGCGCATCACGATACCTGTAGTACAGTGGCTCCAATGGAGGAAAGTTTACCTTGCAGGGGTATTTATTGTGACTGAGGAGGTGAGTAATGACTAGAGAAAACATTCCCTGAGGAACTGGAAGAGTATTGATACCATCATTATCCTGCCAGACTATAAGAAGTGGTTTAATATCTGTTTGAGGTTCAGGTGGCTCAGTGTATGACTGCAAAGCACAAGGAAAGAAATAATCTCCATCTTCTCCACTGGCAATGATACGAAGATGAATAAGGAGCTTAAGTAAATGAGACGGCTCAAAATGAGGTGGAGAAAAAAGGAATTTGAAATGATTCGTTAAGAGTTTCTCTTTAAACAAACCAAAATAGTGAAGCTTGATTATAACTTCCTGTAGAGGAACAGGGTTGGCTATTAAGTGTAGTGCTTTCCTTTCAACGTAAGTAAGAGCTAATAGACGTGATAGAACCTCAAGAATAGGCTTAGGATCAACAAAAACTAACTGTGGCAAGATATCAGGATAATAAAGGATAATAGTAACATTATGGAGATACTGTAAGGCATCCTTGGTATCATTCTCACTCATTTGAAGAGCTTTACCAGCAGATATAACTTCATCTATTATGAGAAAACTGCAGCTTTTGTCTTCTGCTATTTTTTGCAGCCAAAGCTCAAATGCAAACCAACGAATTGGCATATTCATTTTAAGAGAAGTGCCTCCACAATTTGCTATTGACTGACATAAATCCTGCCCTGCTTTCATTCTTCCTTCATCTTCAGGTACTAGTGTATTAACAGGAAATATGATAGACTCTCCATGAATATTAGGGATAACATAATCTACGTCAGGCTTCAATGAAGACATCAACTCTTTATTCATCTCCTTAAGCTTGTCTTCAGTTATGAGATCATAATGTGTGCCTAACACAAAATGCATTGGATGTGAAGGTGTTTCAAGGATATGAGGGACATCGATTGGTTTTAAAATGGCTCCAGAAGAAACTGCCGATAAAAAGAAATCTCGATTTGAATACTTTAAGTTTAAACCACAAGAAAATGTCTCCCGTCCAATCCTGTATTGGAAATCAAGCTTTTTATCGAGAAGTTGGGAGAGATCAAGAGTGATGATATTGAGAGAAGCTGTTCTAACAAACATTGGCAACAGCTCCTGGTATGCTGGCTGACCTCCAGAATCAATAATGTACAACCAATGACCAC